TATTATTTGAATAGCACTTAGAACATTGCCTGGCACATAGGCAGCAATATGTGTTAGTTCAGAAAAGTTCTTTCGAGATCTTTCCTGCTAATAAATACTACTTGACACCATATACATACCTAGACACATGTCAACTTCTATCCTGTAGGAGTTTGATTCAATGTGACTTATGTTCGTCATATAACATCCTGGGCATTTAGAATACATATTCTCAAACTGATTAATATTCTGTGGATATTGTGAAAAGCTGCACTGTCTCTGGATGCACTGCAGTCTGATTCCTCTATTTCAGTGAGTACCATTACCCTGAGGTATATTGTCAAGGCTGTATATTGTCACCATGCTTATTTAACTTATACGCAGAGTACATCATGAGAAATGCTGGGCTGGAAGAAGCACAAGCTGGAATCAAGATTGCTGGGAGAAATATCAATAACCTCAGATATGCAGATGACACCACCCTTATGGCAGAGAGTGAAGAGGAACTAAAAAGCCTCTTGATGAAAGTGAAAGAGGAGAGTGAAAAAGTTGGCTTAAAGCTTAACATTCAGAAAACTAAGATCATGGCATCTGGTCCCATCACTTCATGGCAAATAGATGGGGAGACAGTGGAAACAGTGTCAGACTTCATTTTTGGGGGCTCCCAAATCACTGCAGATGGTGACGGAAGCCATGAAATTAAAAGACGCTTACTCCTTAGAAGGAAAGTTATGACCAACCTAGACAGCATATTAAAAAGCAGAGACATTACTTTGCCAACAAAGTTCCATCTGGTCAAGGCTATGGTTTTTCCAGTGGTCATGTATGGATGTGAGAATTGGACTGTGAAGAAAGCTGAGCACCAAAAAATTGATGCTTTTGAATTATGGTGTTGGAGAAGACTCTTGAGAGTCCCTTGGACTGCAAGGAGATCCAACCAGTCCATCCTAAAGGAGATCAGTCCGGGGTGTTCATTGGAAGGACTGATGCTGAAGCTGAAACTCCAGTACTTTGGCCACTTCATGTGAAGAGTTGACTCATTGGAAAAGACCCTGATGCTGGGAAGGATTGGGGGTAGGAGGAGGAGGGAACGACAGAGAATGAGATGGCTGGATGGCATCACCGACTCGATGGGAATGAATTTGAGTAAACTCCGGGAGTTGGTGATGGACAGGGAGGCCTGGCGTGCTGCGATTCATGGGGTTGCAAAAAGTGGGACACGACTGAGCGACTGAACTGAACTGAACTGAACCACTACCCTAACACCCACTACCCAGGCCAAAGCCTTGTTATTTTGACTCAGCTCCCATCTTTGTGCCCTGCACTTGGTTGCTCATCATACATAACCTATGGATCTTGCTGCAGGCAGTACTATTGTATCAATCCCTTCTTTCCATTCCCATTGCCACTGCTAGATATAGCCCTTATTAGGATATCTTCAAAATGCTGAACCAGCCTCCTAACTGGTCTCCCCCAATCTAACCTTTTTCTTGCTCTTCTCACAAGCCTACCAGCACCAGGTCAACCTTCCCACAATCCCTCTTGCACTGTGCAGCTCACCTGTTCAAAACCCTGCAGTGCTTCTCCATTGCCCATAGGATAAAGTCTCCTGAGCCTCAGCCTCCACAATCTAGTCCCGGTTAGTCTACCTAGATTCATTTCCTACTGTTTGCCAAGAAGACCCTCTGAGTTTTCTCAGTCTCCCAAAATATCATGCTCATTTATCATGCTCCCAGTCTTTGTTCATGCTCTTTATCAATCGATGTCTTCCTCTCATCAGCTCCTTCATCCATTCTACCTCACTCATTCATTAATTTAACAAGCACTTGCTGAGATGTATGATGTAAGGGAGTGCTATAATGCATAATATTTTAGCCCTTCTCCTGATAACTCACCCATATTATTCTACCATCTTTAGAAAACCTATTTTCTCTTTAAGTCTTCCCAGACCAAGCTTTCCAGGCAGATCCAGACCACACTGATCTTCTGATACTCACTTTTTCCTACTATCTTACATTTTGAATTGTTTTATTCCCTCCTGTAAGACTATAATCTCCTTGAGAAAGGGAGCAGGTTTTAGTATTATTACTCTCACTGTTCTTGCATCCCTTACCTACACATAGTAGGCACAACCCAGTAATGATTTGGCCATTTTGACTAAATTCATATTGCCTGATATAACCTAGTATTTACTTCCCTTAGCTTAATCCCTAAGCTGATGCTTTGAAACATCACATTTCCATCAAAGTTCATCCCTAAGATAATTTTAAGAGGGTCATGAGTTCTTGGGTGGCAGCTATGACGATCATGCCATTCTTATTGATCTCACCCTCTGTATTATCACCTAATTGTGGATCAAGTCAAAATGGTCAAACCAGTGAGACATGGAGACACAGTCTTAGTCTTCCGTACTCAAAATTTCATGCACTTCTGATTGTCTCAACTGATTGGCAACTCTGAATTACTCAGGACTCATCTGTGAACTAGTGAATTGAACAGAGAGAGAGTTCTAACTTTATATGGGAGGAGGGCAGGTGACCAATGAGAAAGTTTTCAAGAGCATGCCCATTAGGCTACTGACATTCAGGGAAAACGAGTTTACGCATCAGCCTAAGCAGAGAGAATTCCTAAAGAAAATATGTTGGCCTATATAGGTGTGTAGGTAATATGTATAAGTGTGTGTGTGTGTGTGTGTGTGTGTGTGTGTGTACAGTTTAAATACAAAGCAAAAATATATGCTATCATTAGCATAAAAAATGAAAAATTTTACGGAATTCATATATACATTTGAGGCTGTATTGCCCCTAACTTTACCAACTGAAAAGATCTTTAAAAAAGGAATTCTGAGGCTTCCCTGGTGGTCCAGTGGTTAAGAATCTGCCTTGTAATACAAAGGACACCAATTCGATCCCTGGTTCAGGAAGATGCCATGTGCTGCAGAACATCCTGCAAGTGCCTGTGCCACGACTACTGAGCCCTTAGAGTCCACAACTACTGTAACTCCTTAGAGTCTATGCTCTGCAACGAGAGGAGACACTGCAGTGACAAGCCTGTGCACCACAACTAGAGACGTGGCCCTTCTCACCTACTGTAACTACAGAAAGCCTGCACACAGCAATAAAGACCCACCACAGCCAAAACAGTAATATAATAAATCTTTTTTATTTTTTTTTATTTTTTAAAAAAATAATTTTTATAGACTCCAGTTGAAATCTTCAATCTAGTAACAAGCATTGATTTATAGTGATGGATAGTTCATGTTTTCCTGGTGACATACCTTTTATTCTGGAAATACTCTAAGTGAATGAAATGACTTCAATTTATAGAAGTATCATTATACTTTACAAAATCCTATAAGGCAGTAATCCATCCCCTCTAAACTTATCCTTTGTCCTCTTATCCACCAGAAAACTCCAAAACCAAAGTCATAAGAATACTAAGTAACTTCTTTTAACTGGCATGATTAAAGTGCCCTCCAGCACTTTTGCACAGCTGTTTTATTTTATTTTTTTTTTTTTATTTTATTATTTTTTTTTTTTTTAATTTTTATTAGTTGGAGGCTAATTACTTTACATCATTACAGTAGTTTTTGTTATACATTGATATGAATTAGCCATGGATTTACATGTATTCCCCATCCCAGTCCCCCCTCCCACCTCCCTCTCCACCC